ATATGGAACACTAACAACTACTACACCGTTGGTACAATCTTTCTCTGATGTTGTTTCAAAAAATAATACTATACCCAACAATAATAAAAATAAAATTGATTCTTCAAATTTACAAAACAATAATTCAACAACTGTAACAACAAATGTTCCCACTTTACCAAGTGATAAAATAGAAATAACTTTACCCAACAACAAATGTACTAACGCACCAAAAGAATGTACCCAACCAACAAAAAAATTAACCAAGTACCAACAAAAAATAAAATCACCAAATCAGTACCTACTATGCTTACACGATCAATGTCTAAGACAGCAACAAACCAACATACAAAAACAAATAAAACACCAACAACAAAAGAAACAATTAACTTTCCTCAAAACAATGATATGGCTTTACCAAAGCGATCGACCCAACAAGACTCAAGAAACAAGAAACCCACATCCCATTCAATCACAATAATACCATTCTTCCGAAACAATACAGCGGGTACTTCCATAACTTGGCTGATAACATATCAGCTAAGCAAGGGATTGGTATCCTCGTCAAAAAGACTACCCCCCATAAAATTGTATACACAAATAACGACGTAGCCTCAATTGCTATCCAAATTGATATTGGTTTAAAAATTAGCGTTTCATGCATATATATACCCCCCACCAAAACTTTTCTGAACAGACGTTGAATTTAATAGTAAACAATTTGAACCATCCTTTTTTATTAACTGGTGATTTCAACTCTCACAGCCTACTGTGGGGCTCAGCAAGTTCAAACTCACGTGGTTTAACAATCGAAAACTTCGTTTTTAATGAAGATCTTGTCATATTAAACAATGGGTCCCCTACACACTCTTCCACACATAATACCTTTTGCCATCCAGATATTACGCTATGCATATAGCGCCTTTGTGTTCCTGGAAAACTCTGTCAAATCTCCACGGAAGCGACCATTATCCAATTTTAATAACTTTAGAAAAGAGTGTCCTCCATTCGGAAATTAAATTTATTCCTAAATTTAAAACTGGGCATTATTTCAAAAAAAGTGCTATGAAAATCTTTTAAATGCCAGTATCTCTACAAATATTAATCAACAAGCTGCCATTTTTACCAAATGCCTCAGATCAGCTGCTAACCTTAGCATACCTCAAACGCAGAAGAAAAGCTTTACACGCCAAATAATATGGTGGAACTCCAAGCTTGACTCCTTACGTAAAGAAAAACAAAGGCTTTGGCACTATTTTAAACGTTTTAGAAATAACGACAACCTAATACAATATAAAAAAACGAACGCACTATTTAGAAGAGCTGTTAAAGACAGTAAAGCTTTATGTCTACAACAATTCACAGCCAATATCAAACCGAAATCACCCTCACGACGAATTTGGAACGACATTAAACGATTATCAGGCGCCAATAATACAAACTTAATCAACAACATACAAACTGGTTCCAACACTCTTACTGATTCCGTCGAAATAGCGAACTGTTTTGCAACAAATTGGTCATTACAATCTAAGGATTGCAATTTCTCCCAAGCTTTTCGCAATAACAAATCTACCTGCTTACGCCACAACTATACACATCAAAATTTTAATAAATACGCAACAAAAATTGAATGCCCAATTAACATTATAGAACTTGAAGACGTTTTACTTTCAGCTAAAGGCTCTACGCCTGGATTGGACGTATTACATATCCAATGTTAAAAAATCTAAGCCTTTCTACAAAAAATCATCTGTTAGTACTATATAATAATATTCTTTTCTCTGGTATTCTTCCACAAGCTTGGAAAACTGCTGTTGTTCTGCCCATTCCTAAACCAAATAAGGACCATCATACAATATCTGGATTCAGACCAATTTCCCTTCTATCTTGCATTAGCAAAATATTTGAAAAAATCATCACAAGACGAATAATGTGGTTCATGCAAGTTAACAATTTTTTAACACCCAATCAAGTTGCTTTTATGAAAAAAAAGGGTACAGATGATGTCCTATTATACTTGCAGCATTTTATATCTCGAGCTCTGTCTACTAGAAATCATGTCAGTATTTTATCCACTGACTTTGAAAAAGCATTTGACCGGATTGGTGTACACATTATAATGGAACAGCTTAGCAACTGGAAATTGGAAAGAATATTTACTCTATAATCAAAACCTTCCTGTACAACCGCAAATTTAAAGTCAGGATAAATGGACATTTTTCCAATATTTTACCTTTAAACAATGGCATTCCACAAGGATCACCATTATCCGTCGTGTTATTTATTATTGCCTTCAACGATTATAGTAAAATCCTATCCTCTCAAAAACATATCGAACACGCAATTTACGCAGACGATGCGGTTATATTTACTAAACTCAGCTCAGATAATAACAAAGTTAAAACAATATTTTCTAACACCTTAAAAAAAATTGACGATTGGTGTTTAATATCTGGTGCTAAACTTTCCAAACTGTTTTACACATCTGCAAAAAACACAACTGCCCCATTTTCGATGTTGAATACAACAATAACACTATTAAACGAGTTAATTGTTTACGCATCTTAGGTGTAATTTTCGACAAAAGTTATACTTTTAAAGAACATTGTCTACAATTGAGGAGAAATTTAAATTCAAGATTAAACATCATAAAATATCTAACATCAAAAAACTTTAAGATACATATATCGACTATGATAAGTATAACTCGGGCAATCATGTTATCTAAAATCGACTATGCTCTGCCCATATATGGATGGTGTGCCACTTCCCATATTAAACTTTTACAAGCACCTTATCATGCAGGGATTCGGCGAAGCATCGGAGCTTTTCCCTCTAGCCCAATTATAAATATTTTGGCTGAAGCAGGTTTGCCCTCTATTAAGGAACGCACTATACAACTTACATACAAACTCATTCCCAAATTTTTTATTTGCCGTAATAAAATACTGTTTCACGAAGTTAAAAAAATTATATCTGCCATTACAAGGTGCATAATATTTTCTAATACACTTAATCTCCAACTTCATCCAATATTGATAAAACCACATTCAGAGCCTCCATGGCTGATAAATAAGCATTCTATCATCTTAACTATGGCTGAATTCCCAAAAACTACCACTCATCCCACCATTTATAGAAATATGTTTAACCAATTCAGCACCAGCCTTACCACAGATAATTGGAAGTTTATCTTCACAGATGGTTCGAAATCAATTGACTCTACAACTTTCGCCACAATCAGCCAAGAGGGCAATATTTTAAACACCGGCTTCATCAATAACTACTGTTCTAACTTTACAGCCGAAGCGTTAGCCATCCTCCTGGCAACACAATACGCCTCAAATTCAGATTCCAAACACGTTATCTGCTCTGATAGCCTTTCTTCAATTCTGTCCACCAAAAACTCCTTATGTGATTCACATATAATTGGCAAAATAAGGAACCTCTGCATCCAAAACCCTAATAAAATAAAAATTATGTGGGTCCCTTCCCACATTGGTATCACTGGTAACGAATACGCCGACTCAGCAGCCGAAGACGCAAAACACCGACCTTTAATAACATATCCGACCTGGGAAGTTCGGGATATGTTAAATGCTATCTTCTCTTCTTTAATGGAATCAAAATCCCAAAAATGGAATAACTACCATCACAGTTGTAAGCTTATGAATCCAACCGGAAACAAACCAATATATCCCCAAAACTGCTCCAGAGAAGAAACTACTGTATTTGTACGACTCAGAATCGGGCACTGTAAATTTTCCCATCAACATCTCTATGAACTATCCCCCCCCAACTGTCCTACATGTAACACACGTCTTAACGCTACACACATCCTTAACGAATGCTCTACCTACAACCCGTCCCGATTTCTTCTTTTCGGAACAAGGATACCAACCGAGCTACTCAAAAACACATCGGAAGAAAACATTAAATTAATTAACAAATTTTTAATCAAAAATCATTTGAAAAATATCATTTAAATAATAACATCAGAGTCGAAAGCCTTAGACGCTAGTACTCCTATTTCTTTCTAATTAATTTCTATAAATTTTCTGGTATAATCATTAATTTTAATAAAAAAAATATTTTAAGTAACAAAATGTTTTTTTTTCAATATATCCTAAAAACTATTAATTTTTTGTTACATTTCGAATTCGTGTGCTGTGAGACACGTTAATGATCTGGGGAATTTGCAATAACTTTTAAAATTTTCAACCAATATTTGTGTTTTATATCATAATGCTTATTATGTGTACATTGCGATTCCTTCACAATAAAGAGCAAAATAAAATTCGCAACTTCGTTTTTTTAGAGCACACATTCTTGTAGATATCAGCTTTTATACATTTTCTGCCTTATGCAAAAACGATTACTAAGTTAACAATGGTTATTAAAACCTGTTTTTATATGGAAAAAGTGTGTAGTAAACCATTATTAATGCATAAGGCTGTTTAAGTTTAAATGTGGAAGTGTACAACTCCAAAACATGCCTCGAACAAACTTCATTCACAGTAAAATTTTTCTCTTTATAATTAATGGCTTCCAGGCATTTCAGCATAATAAGGCTTCTATTATGATTTTATCTCTGAAAAAAAATTTAAAAAAAAATGGAAATATGCTAAGAAAAAAACTATTTTAATGATATTCCACCGAAAGGTGGAATATAACCGCTTAAAGCAAATTTAAGCATAAAAACCATACGATTCTAATTTTTGTGTTTCGTATAATATGGTCAAATGTGAAATAATAATTTATTCATCTTATACACATACATAAATAATATTAAATTATGTTTTTTTAAAGTTCAACTAAATTCAAATTACTATGTGAGACTGTACGTATATTTGTTTATATTTCTTATTGTAAATTATTATCATCAATTATGATCATCAATTATATTATATTTACTTATATGATTCCGTTAGTCTCAACTAACACTAAAAAAACGTTTACTGAATTTTATTTATTTTCATTTATAATACTTATGATGTAGTAATTTTTTATTATTGCAGCAAACGCGAATCTGATTCAATGCCGACAGCATTAAACGACTTTCTATACACATTGTTACGTACGACAAAACCTCAAAGGCGTGCATTAGTACAAACAGTCACAAAACAATTCGATGACCAAAAAACTTCATTACGTCAGATGCTTTTTATTGCAGACAATTTAGCGTATTTTCCATATGTGGTTCAGGATGAGCCACTCTATCTTATTCATCAAATTGATTTGCTGATTTCAATGGCTGGTACCAATATATTAGCAACGTTTAAGGAATGTCTAAAACCTAACGAGAATGCAGATGATGTATTAGAAGATGATGATGACGAAGAAGATCCGGAGGTACTTTTCAAACGACTTCCGGATGACGTTATGGAGATACAAAAATGTATTACTTCTGCGCAAGCGTGTATGCTGCTCCTAATATTAAAGGAGCATTTGAAGGACATGTATAGTTTAACAGATAGTAAAATTTCTCGATACTCTCCATCTGAACCTAAAATTCATGAAAAAGCAGTGTCGCGAAAAATTGTACATGATTTTAATCCAAAAACTACAATAGATATAATTAAAAAACAACAGGAACATCAGAGTAGCTGCAACACCGAAAATGATGACAAAAAAAAACAACTTTCCGATGAGGAAAAAATGGATCTGGTTGTGAAATACTTAGACGTACGTATACTTTGAAAATGAAAATTTAATATGTTTAATATGTTTTTTATTACTTTAAAAAACTGTAAAAATCAATAATTTATTTTTAGGGTAGAGCCCAACATTTTTTTTTTGAGTATTTAGGAATTCCATTTTAAATTTAAAAGATTTTTTCCCATTAGCGTGTTATTGGAGGGATGTTGTTAATTTTTTACAACTTTGGCAACCCTATAGCCATTATCTCGATTAGTGTTTATAAAAAACCGACTTTTGGAAAAACCGATTTTTCGGTTAACCGAAAATTGACCATTTCTAGAAAACCGGTTTGTCGGTTAACCGAGTATAAAAAAACGGTTAACCCGGTTAACCGAAATGTTTGGAAATCTTTAAAATATTATAATATTTAGTTGAAAAATGTCCTTTTGCGAAATATTATGAATTAATAAGATATTTGCACTTTTTAGTATATATATGTAAATTAATATATCATAAGAAAACAAACTTATACAGATCTGAAGATATTATTGATTCGTTAGGTATATGGAAGTTGCCATAGGAGGGATAAATTGACCTTTGAATATATATATCAATAAAAAATATCAATAAAAAATTTTATGTCCAGGACTATCAAGTATAAATAGCGTCAAGGCTCGCGACGATTCATCGGGAACGGAAGTAGACGACGACTGTCTCGACATAGACATTTAGCCCCTGCTTTAATTGTGACCTCCCTCCGTTCGCTACGCCTGTGGTTGTTCAAATTACTGTGAATGACGCTTCGGAATATTAACAGGTGGCATTCTGACTTCCTGTCAATCAACCTAAGCGCCATTACAGTTTGTGAAAAACCCCTGCAGCATAAATTCTCGGACAGCGACAACAACACTTATGTTTCGATAAATAAAGTTCGTTTTGAGAACGTTTGAGAAACTTCTCGATTTTTATTATACTCACGCAGTAAACAAGTAAGTGCATCCTGTATTTTATCATCAAAGTTATTTATTCGTCTTAATAAATAACAAATTTCTTCATACAATGGTTGGAATTTTTTTTAATAGCACTGTGTGTAATTTTTTAATTCATGGTTGAATAACCATATACGGACACCACTATATGATAAAAGACCAAAAATAAGAAGACCCGTGTCTTCCAGTTTTGCCCAAAGTCATGCACTTTTTTAGTTATAGGCCCTCAAAGATTTGGGCCCTCGGTGTCTTTTTTGAAAAAAGTGATCATTGTCTCAGGCTCATATCTTGCAAACCGTTTGGAATTTTGATTTACTCTCTGAGGGAATGTTGTTGCTCTTATCACAAAGATAATGATAGGTAAGTCGCAAAAGTGAAAAGTTTTATGAAAATTTTTTAATTTCATTTGTTTTTTCTTTACTTCAACATTAGGGTGTACCGTGGACCACTTTTTAGGAGGAATATCTATAAAACGATGCGTTTCAATGAACTAAATACGGGAAAAATAAAAAACAATTTTGAAAAGGTCCTCAGTTCCCTACCTGCGATTGAAAATCTTGATATCAGTACAATATGTTCAAACCTTTTTTTCTGCAATCTTTTCGAATTGGGTGTCAAAAATTCCGCAATTTTAAGCTTGTCGCGGGAAAAATAATTGAAATTGTTGTTAGTGTATTTCTGGTCCGCAAAACGACTTTTATTGTATTATGAGGGGCATACAAATTTCAAAAAATTCTGAAATGGACTAAACCAAATGCCAAAAAATTTTTGGAATATTTTTCTGTATGAGCTAAAAATTACGACAATTTTGACACCCATTTCGATAAAAAGCGAAAACAAAATGCCTCTCCAACCCACTAAAAACCATTTTGTGGACCAAAAATATTCTACAAAATTTTTTAAATTATTTTTCCCGTAATCAACTCAAAATTACGAAATTTTCGAGACCCATTTCAAAAAAATCGAATATGTTTTATTTTTCAAAAATTATACTGGACCTGTACTTGCAAATCGCACTCTTTTAAGTTGTGGACGCAAATCGTCGTCCTAATCTGACTCTGATTCGGAACTTATGATGTCCACAGGCACGTTGCTTCCAGACTGTCTTCCATCTTCTTTACATACTTCATTAACATCATACAGGGTGATCTTGTGACTCCACCAACATACCGGTGATTTATGAATTAGAAAAGGAATGCAAAATAATGCGTCAATATTAATTGATATAATACTAATACTTTTTTATTATTTTCGTAATAGATAGCATTGTATCTCAATATTGAAGTAAAGAAAAAACAATTTTCAGGAAACTTTTCACTTTTGCGACTTACCTATCATTCCTAAGAAGTTCATATGTTCTAGAAAGTTGTTTATTGAGCTCCTAGGCACATTTTTGTAGTTGATTGTTTTCTTAAATTTTTAACGGTTTGCCACTTATAGACCTGAACAAGGAAAAAATTTAAAAACAAATTTAATTTTTGCGATTCTGATCATGAAGATAACGTTTTTTTGTCTTTATATGTTCACAATTTTGGTTCTTTGTGATAAGAGCAACAACATTCCCTCAGAGAGTAAATCAAAATTCCGAACGGTTTGCAAGATATCAGCCTGAGAAAATGATCACTTTTTTCAAAAATGACACCGAGGCTCCAAATCTTTGGGGGCCTATAACTAAAAAAGTGCATGACTTTGGGCAAAACTGGAAGACACGGGTCTTCTTATTTTTGGTCTTTTATCATATAGTGGTGTCCGTATATGGTTATCTTTTTTTTCGTGTTGCACTGTGTAGTTAATTTTTTTATTGGTTTAAATGCCAATTTTTTTTTATTTCCTGATTGTCTGAAATTGTAAATCTCCATTTTTTATACATAATATATGTTTAACATTTCCTAACATTTGTTTAACAATCTTAGGTCTGTTTTCACATGCACAAACGGAAAATAATGTTTAGAATTATCTATCCAAAATTTTTAAAAATCACAATAATAAATCATCAATTTTGTACTAAAAACTAGATTTTTTTGAAACCGGTTGGCCGAGATTAAAAAACCGTATAACCCGGTTAACCGAAAACCAATGTTTAAAAAAAACGTTTTGCGAAAAACCGAAATATGCAATAAAAACCGGTTTTTCGGTTAGCCGGTTAACCGGTTTATAAACACTAATCTCAATGTCTGGTTATATTTTATCATAAGGCTAAATTAACAGTTTTCATACATAAAATATTTTAACCAAAATAAATGTAAATTTTATTTATCATTATTTAAATTTTTTTTTATCAAAATTTTGTATCTGATTTAAACATTGGATCTACTTACGCTATTTCGGCTTAGGAGCGGGAATATTATTGAAAATGGAGTAAATAATAACAAATGAGCAATACAAAATTAAAATTTTGAAATAAATGCAGTAAAAGTAAAGTGGGCTTGGGAGACTTCATGCCTCAACAGATTCATGACTTCAAACATACGACAATGGTTAAAAAACATTATTGTAAGAAAAAAACACTGAAAAATTGGAATGATCAGCTCAGAGCACCGCCCTAAATCCAATAGATTAATTTTTGACCACAAATGATCAAGAAATTCCGATGAAATAGTGAACAAAAAGGTTTTTTTTTTTTTGAAATAATCATATGGGGAAAAGCGAGGGGGAGGGAAGGCGATTGCGAATATTGTTAAAAAAAAACTACCAAAATGGCTTACTGCCGGTTTCTCTAAATGCAAAAGAACAATCCAAATATTCAAATTAGAACTAAAATATATAAAAAATTTTTATATACAAGAAATTTAAATAATGGTATATAAAATTAACACTTTATTTGGTCATACAAAAAATTTCTGTGCATATAAGCAATACTTGTACCAAATTTTATATGGATATTTTAATTTTGTAATGAGTTATACACGTTTAAGTGATTTTCGGGAGGGGACCTTGTATGGGAGCTATGACCAATTATGGACCGATCGGAAAAGACTTTCACATTAATATTTCTGTGCATATCGGTAATACTTGTACCAAATTTTATATGGATATATTAATTTAGTAATGAATAATGCGCCTTTAAGTGATTTTCGGGAGGGGGCCCCGTATGGGAGCTATGACCAATTATGGACCGATCGGAAAAACTTTCACAGTAATATTTCTATGCATATGGGCAATGCTTGTACCAAATTTGTTATGGATATCTTATTTAAGTAATGAGTTATGCGCGTTTAAGTAATTTTCGGGAGGGGACCTTGTATGGGAGCTATGACCAATTATGGACCGATCGGCAAAAAATTTCTCAGTAATATTTCTGTGCATACGAGTAATACTTGTACCAAATTGTATATGGATATCTTAATTCCGTAATGAGTTATACACGTTTAAGTGATTTTCGGGAGGGGACCTTGTATGGGAGCTATGACCAATTATGGACCGATCGGAAAAAACTTTCACAGTAATATTTCTATGCATATGGGCAATACTTGTACTAAATTTGATATGGATATCTTATTTATGTAATGATTTATGCGCGTTTAAGTGATTTTCGGGAGGGGACCTTGTATGGGAGCTATGGTAAATTATGGACAGATCGGAAAAAAATTTCACAGAAATATTTCTGTGCATATGAGTAATACTTGCACCAAATTTTATATGGATATCTTAGTTTAGTAATGAGTTATGCGCGTTTAAGTGATTTTCGGGAGGGGACCTTGTATGGGAGCTATGAACAATTATGGACCGATCGGAAAAAACTTTCACAGTAATATTTCTGTGCATATGGGTAATACTTGTACCAAATTTTATATGGATATCTTAATTTAGTAATGAGTTATGCGCGTTTAAGTGATTTTCGGGAGGGGACCTTGTATGGGAGCTATGTCCAATTATGGACCGACCCAGAAAATTTTTCCTCTGTATGAATTCTATTGACATAAGATTTTAATTTGTAAAATTTTGTGAAGATATCGACATTGTGACGGAAGTTATTAGCAAAAAACCCATTTTCCGGCAATATGTACTTTTGTATGGGAGGTATATGAAATTGTGGACCGATTCAGAAAATTTTCAGCAGGGATCAAGCTCTTGTGTAGAAACGAATGTATGGTGATTTTCATGGAATTACCTTGTATAGTTTTCGAGAAAATTACATCAGAATGTGTAAAAAATGCTTATTTTTTTCGAGGTTGTTTTAAATTTTGATTCATAACTTTTCCCGGTGTGAACCGATTTTGCCCATTTTTAATACCAAACAACTTAAGAAAATGAAGAACATTTTGGGTGTATTTAGTTAAACTCTATTGCTTCGTTTTATCGTGAGCGTGTTTTACACAGACAGACGGACATAGCTAAATCGACTCAGAATTTGATAAGGACCCAGAATATATATACTTTGTTGGGTCTCAGATGAATATTTCTTTCTTACACACGGTATGATAAAGTTATATATACCTTCTATCACCACTGATGGTGGTGGAGGGTATAAAAACGAAACCACTAAACTTACAGTTTTATTTTTTAGTTTTAATCACTAGTGATGAAATTTTGAACCTTTTTCGGAAACCATCCCATTAACGTTTTTTAGTGCTTTCTGTCACTTTGCTCGAACAGGTTTAAAATCCGTTTAAAATCTACCACTCTTTTGGACACCTTTTTGTGCTCTTCAATTCTCTTTTAACAAGAGCCCAATATCTCTCCGCTGGCCTTAGCTCTGGGCAGTTTGGAGGATTTTCCTCTCTTGGTACAAATACCACATTATTGTTCTTGTACCTCTCAAGGGCTTGTTTATCATAGTGACAGGATGCCAAGTCAGGCCAAAAATAAGCAGCTTTTTTGTAAACATTCCTTGATGTAAATTTCGGATATCAAATATCACATAAATTAAATATCCATTATTTTGGTTTCTTGTAGAAAATATTTCATAAATGTAGCAAATATCTTCTGGAGAACAATTTTGTAATTCAAACAGGGCTATCTAGCACTTCACTCGGAATGGTTTCAAGTCAGTCGTTATAACTTAGATCTTTATTAATTTTTGTTTTATTCAAATTCCTATTAATTTTGTTAAAAACAATTAACTTAAAATTATTAGTACACAGAAGAAACTAATTTTAAAATATTTTCAATTAACGAATAATCAAAAATTTTAAAACGGTTCAATTCATTTTGTATTTGAATCATGGAAATGTATAATCAAATACGTATTTAACAACAACAAAAATAGAAAAAAAATAAAAGTTTTGTGTATGAAATCCATTATAAGTATATATTAATTGAATATACAATTTTTGTTATAGGTTGAACGAGGTTTTGGTAATTGAAATCGTTTTTTAGCTTTTTCGGCGTAAAGATTTTGATTAAGAAAAATTTATAATTGCAATGTAGATTATTTTAATTTTAAAACTTCATACCGTTATAACTTTTATAATTTGTTCTTAAAAGTAAACCAGTTAGAGTTCTATATTCGGCTATACCCTACATACACAAAACATATTTGTGCCGAATTATATCTCGATAGCTTGATTTATTAATGAAATATGCTCGTTTAAGAGATTTTTAAAAGTGGACTTTATATGGGAGCTATGACCAATTACGGGCCTATCCGGAAAAAAATTCATACATACACAAAGTGATTTATACATACACAAAACATATTCGTGCCGAATTTTATTTAGATAGCTTATTTATCAATAAAATATACGCGCTTAAATGATTTTCGTAAGTGGACCTTATATGAGAGCTATGACCAATTGTGTACTTATTCGAAAAAAATTTCGCTGAATCCAAGCTAAAAAATTTTGAAGTTTAATATTGTATGAAAAGCACCACGCCCACTCAATCAAATCCGCCCATGACATCAGATCGCACCATACCATGTCACATATTCATACAAATTTTTATCTTTCTAAGTGCTTTTAAACAAGAGTTATGACTTCTTTTGTGCTAAATTTGTCATTGGCATCAGTGTGTGACGTCAATAATTGGTGTGCTGGATCAAAGGACAAAAATTCCTGTTTTGATGTTTTTAGATTTTTCCCTATTCCTTGCGAAGAAAATATGATATGAAAGTTCCTTTAAAGGGGTCTTCATTTGTGGGCGATTACAAAATTATTAATTGGTTTTTATTTTTTTAATTATTTAATGTAATAACTCAAATTAATATACATATAGGCTATTTCAAAAAATTTGGAACAAAAAAGTAGGATTTTGAACACCCTCTCCGATTTCGATGAAATTCGGTACACGCATTCTTCATGTAAATGCGGAATTTAAAGTTCTCCAAAATTTCTAAATTCGTTACGGGTCAGATTTTATTGACGTTCAAAGTTCATATTTTTTAGAATTTTTTTTCAACAAGCATTAAATTTAACATCGTATATTTTCTAAACTATTTATTCCATTTTAATCGTTTTAGTCCCCAATTAAAGCCAATGTCTTGTAGTTTGACAATATTTTATTTAAAATATTACAGTTTTAACGTAAGGATGATGACATCAACAACGTCTTTTAGTCAAGGATGTCTCAAAAAAGGTGCCTTCCATTTTCTTTATTTCTTCACATAAGATTGCTTATAGCGTTCTCAACAATATAATATAAAAAATTCAGAATATGACAATCAGGGGATCTCAAGTAAACCCACTTTTAGTAATATAATCCACATCATTTCCATATAAATTTCAAAATTTATAGTTTTTTTGTTGATGAACACAAAAATAAATTTAAAAATTTGAAACAAAAATTAAATTCTTCATGAACAAAAAAATAAAATTTTTGAAATTTGTATGGAAATTATGTGAATTATTTTACTTAAAGTAGATTTACTTAAGATACCCTCATGGTCCCATTTAGATTTTTTTATATATTGTTGAGAACACTATAAGCAATCTTATGTGAAGGAATAAAGAAAATGGAAGGTACCTTTTTTGATATATCCTTGACTAAATGACGTTTTTTTTATATAATTATCCTTTTGATAAAACTATAATATTTTAAGTAAAATATTTTCAAACTACAAATAGGCTTCAGTAAGAGACTAAAACGATTAAAATCGGATAAATAGTTTAAAAAATATACGATGTCAGTTTTAATGCTTCTTGAAAAAATCTTAAAAAAATTGATTTTTGAACGTTGATAAAATTTTGCAGAACTTTAAACTTCGTGTTTATACAAAGAATGTGTGTACCAAGTTTCATCAAAATCGGAAAGGGTAAGGTACAGAACCTGTTAACCCTATAATAGTATATTACACATAAACATATTGTACATACATACATACATACATACATACATACATACTACATACATACATACATACATACATACATACATACATACATACATACATACATACATACATACATACATACATACATACATACATACATACATACATACATACATACGTACATACATACATACATACATACATACATACATACATACATACATACATACATACATACATACATACATACATACATACATACATACATACATACATACATACATACATACATACATACATACATACATACATACATACATACATACATACATACATACATACATACATACATACATACATACATACATACATAATACATACATACATTCTAATAATTGTCTACTAGAAATTTCCACATTTTATTTGATTTATCAAAAGAAAAATAAAAAATTTTAAATTTTTACGGAAGTAAAATGGATTATTTTACTAAAATTAGTTTTTTTAGATATCCCTTCGTGGTCCAATTCTGATTTTTTTTATATGTTCTTGTTGATACTATAAACTAATTTCAATGAAAACCATAATATTTCAAATAGAAAACTGTGAAACTAAAACACATATGGATTAATTACAATGTAAAATGATTAAAATCGGATAAATATGTAAGAAAATATACTATATCAAGTTTAAACCGTTTTAGAAAAACTCTTAACAAATATGAACTTTGAACCTCGATAAAATCAAAACCGTGACGAATTTAGAAATTTTGGAGAATCTTAAATTTTGTATGTATGAAACTACTCGGAGAAAATTTTCCTGGAAATATCTTAGCTTAAAAAGCCAATAAAAATTCGAGCTAACTTTTTAAACCCCTTTTGGGAATTTGATATATTGATTGTCTACTTTCATTTCCCGTTGATCTCATTCGGGAAAGATTCGATAACATATACCTTTTACTTTGTTTTTTTATGATAACGTTCCTGAATGCTGATTAAAGGGGGGTCCCACATTCAAAATTACTTAAATAATATGAACAGATAGTGAAAGAAATTACTTTACATTGTTGAATTTTCTTTAAAATTAGAGTTTGAGAAGATTTCGAATCGGATCCACTCATAGATAATGGTAATCCATCGATTATTTGCCGAAATTTTGATCAATATTTCCATACTTTGCAAAAAATGACTTGAATATCAAAGCATCTTGACAATCAGGTAAATTATTACTATATTAAGTTAAATTTAGTACAAATCATCAAATTCTAACGGTCAGTTTTTGAGAAAATTTAGTAGTTTCTATTATTTTTCCACCACTGTATTATATCTACAATTCTACTTGAAATTGGTTTCAAAAATGTAACTATATAAACATTTTTCAATATTTTTGAACAGCAAAAAATTTACCATTCGCCATTGAAAGCGTCTTACAAAGATAATTCACATGATATCAAAATTTCACATCGTGTCTATGAAAATTTAAAAAAAATATATAAAACATTTTTATCCTTTTTCCTTTTAATGTTTAGTTTAAACAATTGATGTTAAAGCTTGATCCTGAGGATGCAGATTCTGACGAAGAAATTAGAGATAAATCAAAGTTAAACACATATATCAAAACGGGCACATCACCAATCCCTTCAATGATACCATCAACAGGTCCTTTGCAGTCTCTTAATGAAAGTGGACACACAATCGATAACGCTGTACATTCTTTGACTCCTAATAAAGCTGGAAACTATGATATTGCAACGCACACCCCAGTCAAGGTAAGTACATATACATACAGTGTCTCACATAAGTGTAAAAATTTAAGTAATGTATGAAAATATTCATAACTTTATAATATATATATTTTTTTAAATTAATCAATTAATTTGTTATTATGTCTAGGCAGTCCTAAGGTTGATATCAAACCTTTTTAAAAGTATTCGCATTTTAGCTGCATATATATATATATGTATATATATATATATATATATATATATATATATATATATATATATATATATATATATATATATATATATATATATATATATATATATATATATATATATATATATATATATATATATAATTTCATTTCATGGTATCGAAATATCATAAAAAACATGGTTCAGAAATATCCATGTACGAACACTTAAATTGATATATACATAAATAGACATGAATGAAATTCACATTTGGAAATGAGAATTGTATTAGTTCCACAACTAGTTTTAAAACGCAGGATTATAGCGTGTACTCGTTCTACTTTGGCGTTGAGACCAATGATTTTTGTTCGAAATTGTCACCTTCGGAACTGGTTCTGAGGAAGCGTTATGGAGTCGACACTTATTATTTGGAACGGTTCTGAAACTAGTTCTTTAAATGATTTTTGTTCGAATTTGTCAACCTCGGAACTAGTTCTAGGGAAGCTTTAGAGAACGTATACGCTTAATTAATTTAGGTTAGGTTAGGTTGATAGGAGGATGTATACTACATCAAATCCGAAGAAATACACCCAGGCCACTATCGGGCCTGTTGTGCGCTCCAATTTAAGAAAAAAAAATTGTTCACTGAATGTATTATTTTTCCATGTTCAGAAGCTCAGTTTCCTGGACGTAATTCCTAAGAATCTTCCAATCGGTGTTGGTTAAGAATGTTATTTCCGGAATAACATCACTTCCAAGATACTTGGATCTAACTTCGACAAATGCCTGACAATGGCAAAGAAAGTGCTCCAGAGTTTCACTGTCCTCTCCACATGCTCTACATTCGTCTGAATCCGCACGTCCAATTTTGTATAGATGTGCTCGTAATCCTGTGTGTCCACTCAGAATACGTACCATCATACTAACCTCAGACTTGCTCATTTTAAAAAGATTTCTCGTCTTGCTCTCATCAGGGTCACCCCATAGAATCTTTGTGGTTCTACCCACCGTTTCATTATTCCAAGAGGCCTTATGGGATGCTCTCATCCATATTTTTAATTCAGCTTTTGTTGCGTCGAATGGTTTTGCGTTTGCCAGGTTAACTACATCGAGCTCCCTTCCCTTTAAAGCTATTACATTCGCCCTTTCGTTGCCGACTACTCCCGAGTGGCCTGGTACCCATATGATGTGAACCTCACCTCTGGGAGAGTATTCAGTTAAAGCTTTCTTACAATCCAATACGGTCTTAGATTTAATTCTATCACCTGATATCGCCCCAATTGCCTTCTGGCTGTCGGTAAATATATTAAGCCCTGTGAGCGCCATATTTATTCTAATCCAATTTACACATTCCGTTATTGCTCGTACTTCTGCCTGGAAGCTTGTGTTATGATTAGGTAAACGGTGGTATATTTCTGTTTCTGGGTCTTCAATATAGAACCACAGGCCCACTTTGTCCCCTAATTTAGAGCCATCCGTGTAGCAACGGATTCCTACTGGTATTTGCTCTAATGTTCCGCTTGACCAAGACATTCTATCTGGGATTAGCGTTTCAAAGTTTCCGACATATTCAGTGTCTGGTATGCGATCAGGCACGTCCGATGAATGTGTATAACCTTCCAATGTGTCCAGTATACATTGATGACGTGTCCTATAACCGTTTTTGGCCAGTTTGCCTAAAGTAAAGAGCCGTTCGGCTGTAAGCACCGCCTCATATCTTATATATGTTTCAATGGGTGGAATATCTAGCAACGTTTCCAGAGCCTTGGTTGAAGTAGTACACATGGCACCACTTATACCCAAGCAGCATGTACGCTGAACTCCCTGTAGTAGTTTAATATTACACTTTTTGTCCAAAGCAGTCCACCAGATTATTGAAGCATAAGCTAGAATTGGTCTAATTACACTTTTATAAAGCCAATTTGTCATAGTAGGACTAAGTACTTAACTTTGTCTGTCACCGGTATCTTCTTGCCCAGGAAGAAAGGTTCAGTATACGTAGAAATTTTTGTCTTTCTTGTGAAAAGACAGATTTCCGTCTTCGCCGGGTTAACATTGAGGCCTCTCGGTTGAGCCCAGCTCAAGGCCGTATTCAGAGCCTCCTCAGCTCTTCTACACAAGTAATTTGGATCCTTTCCCTTTAAAAGTATTACGACATCGTCTGCATAGCGGACAGGTCTAAGTCCTTTCTCGGTTAGGGTCCTTAGGAGGCTATTAATCGTGGTAACCCAGAGTAAAGGTGACAAAATGCCACCCTGTGGTATACCGCGTAATACCTTTTTCCTGATAGTTATATCGTACATCTCGCAGCTTATCCATCTGTTCCTTAGCATGTAGTTGATCCAGTTACGGAGCACCCGGTCAACGTAAAACTGGTCTAGGGATTGGATAAGGGTATCAGTGTGCACGTTATTGAAAGCGCCTCGATGTCAATGCATACCGCCAGTGTATACAGTTTGCTATCGAAAGATTCACCTATGTAGTGGACAACTTCATTTAAAGCGGTTTCCACCGATCGTCCCTTTACATAAGCATGCTGCTTATATTTAAGGTCTTTGTATGGTATGCTGCTTTTAACCATGCTATCTACTATCCCACAGTGGGGCAGAATGGAAATTTTTTGGAAATAAATCTGGCATTTCTAAACGGCTCATCCGATCGGGATAAAATTTGGCGTGAGCGTAGCCAAGGAGTATTCGAGTTTAAGTTTTGAAGATGAACCCTGCAGATGCCCCAGGGACGGCGCTGTGGCGGCTCAAAGTAGGGTACCTACGACATGTAAAATTTTTAAACTCGTGCCATTTTTTTGTTTTTCACCCAAATACAAAGATTTTTATATTTTGTGAAAGCGCTCGACGAGATCTTGAAAAAACATGCTTGGACATACTACTTATCTCTTATAATATCCGAGTTATAGGCATTTAAAAATTTAGTGATACAAAATTTACCATACCTTGGTCCGCCTTTTTTGAATACCGGGAGTAATTTTGGACCAAATGGACTCAATTTTTTGTTAGTTAGACAACAAAATTTCCAATAATATACAAACAATTTCAGATCAATATCATTTACTGATCCAAAAATATACGTTTTTTAATTTAAAAATTCAAAAAATTTTAGATTTTTGGCGTTTTTTTGCCAAAAATGTGTCTTAACTCTTTTATTAATAAAATAAAATTTTCTTTAAGAACATATAACAATTTTATAGTTTTCTAAAAGGTATCTTTACGCTTTGGCGTAAAAAACTTGTCCTATTTTTTGAAAATGTTGCCACTGCGTCCTTCCGAATGTGACCTATTTTTTATCAAAACTTCAACTTTGGGCGACATGTTCTAAAATCCCAAAGCTGGGATCAGAAAACTGAAAGCACTTTTGGAAACCTCAATATGTTTTCTATTTACTCCAAAAGTATTTTCCCAGCCCTGAAAGAAATTTTTGGGATTTTCATTCCTATTTTTGGGAATTGCGGGATGCCCTTTGACCTTTTCAATTTTTTTTTTTTTGCATTTTCTTATTTTAAATGACAAATTTAACAAGCGTTGAAAATTTCATTGAGTTTTGTTCATAAATAAAGATTTTGTCATATATTACATATTTGTTTAATTTCTAAAACTATGATTTATATCAAAATTTTAATAGGGTCGCAGATAGCTACAACAATTTAGTCCATATTTATCCCTTAATATCATTTTTTAGTTAGATATGGAAATTCTCGACCCTTTACAAAAAATTTCAAGCCAATATCTCAATTACATTCAAAAATATGTTCATTTAAACCTGTGTCCTTTAATTTCATCTTTTTCATATTTTAGTATTAAGTATGACAGAACATACATTTGGTGTTGAATAAAATATTTGGACAATTTTTAAAAATTATTTAGTTAATTATTTTATTAAAGACTATAACATTGTATATACAATAAAAAGTTATAATTTTATTATGAGCCACGCACAACAACACCTAAATCACCCCACACAAACCACCTTTCCCGCCCACCGAAACATAAAACACAATTTAATACAATATCATCAGTTAGTATAATAGCTTTTTTTATTTGAAATGTTTATCTTAAACATAATACAATTAATTCTTACAACCTACTTATATATATAATCTGTCATATCAGTATACATATCCAGAAGGTAATATAAGTCCTTTAAATCTTCCTTGTTTTGAGATGATAGAGTTTCATAACAAATCCATCTTTTTCGCATAGTTGAAAGAACAGGATCAGAAGATAGAAGTAAACTATTAAAAATATCTTCATTCTGTGATTGCCTGGAGCATTTTCTTGAGCTGAATAGTTGAACATGCTTAAAATCTCGATTCCTCGCTTCCTGGGCTTCTTCTGTTAACTCTCCAAGTGGAAGAATATTCGATTCAATTATTATTTGACCATGACACAATACTTTGTGTACTGTTGGTGTTAGTTCCCTCCATGGATACAGAGATACAAGTAATTTAGAAATTTCAGATGTATATTCCCCGAATCGATTTCCATTAATTTTATGTTTACTATTCAGTGCCATTAAAATAGTGTTAACTCTTCGAAGCAACTCCTTGTCGATTCCAGTTATTTTTGAAGTAATTTCAAAATCACGAAAAAACCTTCTCGCCGTATTACCGGCATTTGTACTACCGCAACTTGGAAATGGTTTGTCGATGTTTAATCCCATCTGAACTTTAAATTCTTCTTGGATTCTGCTTTTTTTCCGCAGCTCTCAGTTCTTTCAATTCTTCATTATTTTTTGTTGATTTAGTAAGATTCTCTGGCACACTTCTATATTTGAGGTCGTATGCTATGTGTAAAAAGTAATCCAAAAATCGTATTCTGGCATGAAGTGGTGAAATT